TTTGTAGTATTAAAGTACCTTGTTAGGAAAAGAAAAAAAAAAAAACTATTAGGTTTCTCTCAGAATCCACTTAAGGCACTGGCCTTATAAATTAAATAATCTAAAAGAGAGAAAGAGAAAGAGAGAGAGAGAGAGAGAGAGAGAGAGAGAGAGAGAAAGAGAAAGAGAGAGAGAGAGATAGAGAGAGAGAGAGAGAGAGAGAGAGAGAGAGAGAGAGAGAGAGAGAGAGAGAGAGAGAGAGAGAGAGAGAGAGAGAGAGAGAGATTCACCAATGTTGTACTTGGCCATGGAGGAGGAATGAAAGACTCACTAACCATTCATGAACAGGCAGATTGTAAGTCACTTCTTGCCAGTGTCTCTGTGCTTCATAGTCCCCGAACATTGGCGGTTTCCCTGCACCTATTCCATTCATTTACATGCAAAATAGCATGCATGGTTTATTAATTAAAACCTAAATGCGGTATAATAAACATCATATATAACATTTATTTCACGAATAAAGTTTATCCCACAAGAATTTTATTTTAGATGAGCAAATTTTCTTGCTCATGTACAGATGAATGAACAGTTCCGACCACCTGCTGCCACTGACTTTGACGTGTCAATCCTAAAACAAAACGGTGGTTTATTGAAAACCAACCTGAGTATGAGTGAAAAGACACCGCCCATCTTGTCGTTAAACCGAGCAACACGCAGAGTGAAATAAGGCTCCAGTTCTCCATGTCTGGTAGCCTTTCGGACGGTTGATTTAAAAATCATGAATCATAACATCGCTTATGCTGTCGATGCTTTCCAGCAGAGCGGAATCGGCTGAAATTCACTTCCTGAAACAGATTACGTCAACGGATTGGCGCCTCGTGATGACATCATCATACAGTCTGTGGGACGTGGGTTGAACGAACAGGTCTGGTTTACAATAATGAACCCAATAAACCCATATGAACCATAGACCGATCAAAACCTAAAAAATGTTGTTAGTAATACCCCATTCTGTCTCAAATATATTAGGTTGTACGTAAAGATGTTACTTAGATGCCCTGAATAAATAGACGGTTATCAAATGGACGTATGGAACATCATCAGGTAAAGACGCTGAATGAACGCCTTCTATTACTGGCCTTTTACCTAATTATGAACACTTGGAATCAGATTATGAAGAAATTGAAAAAGAATACTGTTGTGTTAATGTTAAACTATCAAAAAAATGCCGTATCAATACAGGGCGAGAGAAAGTCTAACAGGGCATTGTGTTTGATTCTACAGGCTAATTGCTGGTAGCTTCATGGTGTCCAAAGTCATAATTGTTTTTCTGCTTTTTTTCAAATTATTATATATTTTTTAATTATTTTAATAATTTGGTACGCATTGTCATATATCACAAAATGTTGCAGCCCATACAAATATAATATTTTCTGTAAAAAAATGACAGCTGAAAATCATGATTTCTTGTTGTCCAAAGTAGGCTAGGCTAATCAGTACTTCCCTAATTTTACAACATTAAATTTACTTGCCTTTAAATGTAATGTTGTACAATTAGGAAAATACTGATACAGGATACATTAATAAGATGTTACTTTCCCTCACTGATCTGAAGCACTGTGTGCTCTCTGTGAGAAAATATTTGAATCTAAAAAGTTCTCACACCAAGAGTTATTTTGTTAAACGTCAAAATTGTTACAACAAAAATATAATGTATCACTGATCACACCGTGGGTTGTTAAAAAGTCTTTCAATCACGATGTCATTAGTGCCTTATGCTCTTAGAATTTATGTTAGCAGGTGGAGTTTCTGGCTAAAAACATTTCAAATGGTCAATTTTGTTACCAAAGTAGAGTACCAATGCTGACAGTATGTTACAAAATTGACAGTAACAGTTGGCAAACAATATAAGAAATAATTTTTTGTTAAAAGTAAAAAAAAAGTAAGTAACTTGTGTTGGCAAGCACTGAATTATTAGAAGTGAATATGTTGTCAATACTGAATAATTTCAGTTAGTGTTAAGGTTTTTTCCATAACTTTTTGAAATGTGAAATGTATCTCCAATTATAGAAGCACTCAGGTGATCAATATAGCCTAGCTATCCTATAACAAGCTATTTTCATTTAAATGATAATTTCAAACAATTCAAAATGTAATAAATAAATATGCTCACCTTTTTGTAGCATTGCTTATGTTTCATTGGTAACCAAATAATTGTATAATTACATAAAGTAAAGTTAGTTTAGACAATATAACTTTATAAAAATGGAAAGCAATTTGCTTGTAGTTTATTATTTATTGGTCCCATCAAATCTTTTCTGTTTCCTGTTCATCTAAGATCTAACAGATAAACCTATACCTGGTCCTATATATGTCATTTTAATTTAGGTTAGAGAGCATTTGCAAGGTTGTCAAAAATTCAATTCTGAATTGTGGTTGTTGCTCTCTTTACAATCATTGGCCCTATACTTGAGTCCCTCAACTCTTATCTGGTGCAATCATTAGCATTTCTTTCACTTTAAGAGCTGCTGGATATGACAGCTTCTTATACCAGGGACATCAAATATTTATAAATGATAACCATGGACAAGTTCTGATTTGCAATGACACTTTCATTACAGTAAGGAGCCTATTAGTCACATTGCACTCAATGACATATTAATGCCGCTGTTTGCCATCTTTGTCATTTACTGCTTCGTCTCTGCACCCTTTAAATATTTAGTAACCACTGTATCCAAATTTACTGTTGGGCATGTGCTCCAGGAGATACCTTGTCAGTGGCCCTGCATATATGGCTTCTGTATTGTGATTATGAAATCAGAGCTGTTCTTTTTTTGCTTGCTTGCAAGCCTTTTGAAACAGTCCCTGCTGTTATCATCCCTTTTCTCCTCATCAAAAATGTCTAAACATCTGTTTGTGTTTATTGTCAAAGGTTAGAAAGAATAGAGAGTTAGGCATGTCTAATTAGAAAAAGAATCCTTATAGTGTAACATCGAATAAAAGCATGTGTGTGTGGGACGGGAACAGAGGACTCTACACCTGTGTACCGGAGAGCAGGTGGATCCAAAAAGGTCAAAGCGTTGTTTACCCAGAAATCCGTCCGACCACTTGTCACTTTCAAAATGCTCAGCAAGGGGTTTTCCTTTGTGTTTCACACGCCAAGAAAAATAGAAAGTTTCAAAACAGTTGCTCTTAAACGTCTGAAGTCTGCTAAATGTTACGCGACAGAAAAAGAATATTTAGCCAAAAAAATTCTGACTATAGCTTGTTGCTAAACACCTAGCTTGACATAACCTTGCATGCATAATTTATAAATATGTACAGCGTAAGGTCTCCTTTATTTATTCAGGCTATTTATTTATTTATTTATTTATTTTTGGTCTAATAGAAAATAGGCCATGACTCGTGACTCTTTGCATAATGTGTTTTGCGTGATCGTGATGTGTTAACCTTGCACTCGTTAAAGAGTCAACTCTTTCCCACCAGCCGTCCTTGAAATAGATCCCTTATTAAAACCCGTTGAATCTGAACAATTTCACAGTATCTCTAGTCCAAAACAAATAACATCTGATCCACGTGCGCGATCATTATCCCCGCAACAGATGCAAATAACCTGTATTTTGAGATGACACGGTTACATGTTTAGATGCATCGAGATTAGTGCTTCCATTAGCAAAGCAGTCGTTTATTTGATGTAGGCTAATTTATTCCTGTAGACTCTGTCTAGTGATAGGCTAAAGACATCACCCATAGCAGCATCATCTGATGTGCTGGATCATTTCTGTCACGTTTTATTTGTATTTTTTTTATAGGCCTGAGTGATCATCTTGTCACTGTATTTTTCTAAACGTCGTTTCAGATGTTTTAAAGTAGCCTAATTTGCCTGTTTTATTAAGTCAAATTTTCATTTATTGATAAACTATTTAATAAAGTTTAGCTGAATGTTACTTTTGAATATGAACCGTGTTTGTAAATATCTTAAAAATAATAACCATGATAAAAGGGAATGAAAACACAACGACGACCTATTTTTTTTTAAAGAAAAATCCAGCTATATTACTGTAATGTGCTGTGAAAGTCCACTGTGCAGGAAGACATCACAACAATGTGCTTAAAAATATGCATCACATTTTAAGGAATAACGAGACCGTCGTGGAACCGTCCTGTTCAAAGGGTCAGTGTCAGACTCAGCAGCGTCTTTGGTCTGAAAGTGAATTCAAGAAGAGGACTTTTTCTTTTCCCAAGGGTATCACTTAAATATAGCCCTAACTCTTGTGCGCCACACACCATCTACCATTTGCTGTTTGAGTTGAACTGATTAGCTAGACACAACTGTGAAAGAGTGTTGCTTTAATAGGAACAACTTCCCAAACATTTTTAGGTCGCCTTCGTTTTCACTTGTAAACGGATACGGCAGTTTCGCGACGGCTTTTGACCTTTTTTAATAAGAATGTTTCTATTTTTGTAAAATTAAGTAACCTTTTTTAATTTGTAATTATTATTCTATTTTTTCACTGTTAGTATATTATTTCTGTAGAAGATTATCTTCAATGCAAGTTATAGACTGCTATCTGTGGTCGTTTTGCAACCAGAAACTGAGAAGCTGCTTTTTTAAACGATTGGTTTGTTGTATTCACAATATCACCGTATGATAACATGTTAGTAGCAGGGTTTTTATAATTTTGCGTTAAGATATCCTGTTATTTATTTTTACAAATAACGGCTTATTTTATTTCAAAATGCTTTATTTGCTAATTTACTGTCTTAAAATAATCTCCTTTATATCTTTTCATTTTAGCTCCCTATAAACACTCAATTATTTATTGTTTTAACATTTACTCTATTTTGAGATGAAACTGCTATTTTTTTTTAATCACAAATAGCCTATGTGAATTAAAACCATAATTTATACGTTTAGATTTCTTTCAGATTTGATGCTTGTTTGCAGGTGTCATCGTTGCATTCCTAGCCTAATTTTAGAAAGAATGTGTTTGATTTAATAAAACCGATTGTGTCTGAGATGCTTTGGATGTTTTTCATATTTATTAACAAATTAAGTTGATTTACAACACAATATTGCTACATAGATTACATATATTTAAATTTGATAAACATACTTTTTCAGTCTTTCAATAAGAACAGTTTAATATTTCATAATGGAAAACAAAAGGGAAAAACATTCTTGAAATCATTTCTTTCAGGATGAAAACAAAATATGAAGAAAAAAAATAAGGCTCACTCAATTATAACGAAATGAAATAAGAAAGAAAAAACATGTAAATTAATTTCTTTGTACAAATATTTACAAACATTACCTGTACCGAAAGCATTCCTTTTTGATTATGAATTTTCTTTTTTTCTCAAAAGTCTTTACATGGCTACATTGGGGCGGACGAATTGTCCAGTGCTGCCTATAGTTCGTGCTTTATCGTATTTAAAATATGTCTAAAAAATAGTCTGATTATCATTGAGAAGGCCATTTAGATATCGCTGCTGTGGACGCGGTCGGTAAAAACTGTCCAGAGATGATATTTGACGGGACGCTGAGAATAGGCGCGATGGCAGCTGATGTCCGGGATAAGGACAGGGACTGTGCGCTCAGTAAGGCGGACTGCACCGTCACAGGCGGCCGTAGGAAAGTCTGTGCGCTCGTAGAGCTGCTGGAGACCCCGATAATGTTTTCTATGCTGAACGATGGTCGACTGGACGGCTCAGATTTGATAATCGACGCGGTGCTCAGGCTGTTCAGTTGCAACTGGAGACTTGGACTTAGTTGAGAGTTAAATGCCTTTCTGTTCAGTTCTGCGGAGGACAAGAGAGGCACCGCCGGAGGGAGCATCGGACCCACCGGGGGAATGTACGGGTACTGGAGAGCATGGTGCGAATACGCGGCCGGGTGAATTCCATAGTGGCGTCCGTAAGGATTCCCAATACTATATGCCCCAAAACTCTGCATCATGAGGGCGGTCTGTTCCCTGAGAATGTCCGGCTGGTGTCTCTTGAAGCGTTTCCTCCTCCTCAGAAAGCTGCCGTTGTCGAACATATCTTCCGACTGGGGGTCGAGGGTCCAGTAGTTGCCTTTGCCCGGGTTGCCCGGTTCCCGTGGGATCTTGACGAAGCAGTCGTTGAGGGATAAGTTATGGCGAATGGAGTTTTGCCAGGCCGGAAACTTCTCCCGGTAGTAAGGGAAGCGGTTGCTGATAAACTCGCAGATCCCACTGAGCGTCAGCTTCTTCTGCGGGCTCTGGAGGATGGACATGGTGATGAGGGCGATGTACGAATAGGGCGGCTTCACCAGACTGTTCTTGGGCTTGCTTGTCATGGAACCGGAGGAGCTCTCCTGCGCATCTCCTTTGGACTCCCCTTCGCCGGCGCTCTCGCATGGACTGACGCTGCGCTCTTTCACCTCGATTTCCTCCACCTCATCTCCCCGGTCCTGCATGCATTGGCTCTCGCAGTCACTGTCCCGCTCCATCCCCTCGTCGCCCTCCCCGACCACGTCGATATCCACATCGTCAGCTGTGAGTACGGTGTGACCGGACATGTTGCTGGCACTTGTGCCTCCAGACAGGGTCATCACCGCTCAGTTTACTGCTGGAGCAACCCAAGATCAGATGACGACCAGTGGCTATAAATGCAGGTCAGTCCCGGCCGGCCTGCCAGGAAAACTTCAATTTTAGAAAATACTTCTCCAGTCTAAAGACTTCTTTCTGCAGACAGGCTACACCTCGTCTACTTTCCAATGTATTTACTCGACACTTAAGCGTGGTTTTGGACCGAGGAGTCAAGATGACGCATGCGTTGAAAAGCAGGTTTAAGGACTGTCTGATAGATTACTTTTCACTTAAAGATATACTATCAGCCGCGTCACGTGACCCGCCGACGTCAGAGGTCGCGCTGTTATACCGCTGAGCCGAAGTTGTTTCATGGATTTGTCAACAAAGGGAACAACAGTAACATCGCCTCTGTTCGTCCGTCATAGACCATTTAGCGGTAGCGGAGGGGAGAGAATTGGCCTGCGTGATTGAAATCATCTCCAGAGCTGACTCGCATTCACTCGCCCGCGCTAAACGCAAACTTAACTTTTCTCAGGCCAATTAGCCTATATTGAAAGCTGCTGAACGAAAACGTCTACAGCTAAGTTAATCGAATCTCTTGTCATTTATTTATATTGTGTGCTCGAATACGGCATGCTTAAATTAACGGTTGAAGGCTACTTTTGAAATTCAATTCTTTGTGGAGAATTAAACTAGCCTTCGCTTGAGTGTTTCTGTAGACGTTAGCACTGATTTTGTTACGTGTGAAATAAGTACAAAAACAATGGAAATCTCTAAGTAAAGATCTTTGTCGAGGTGCTAACGACCCTCATCATTGCACGTGTTAACATATGAATTAAGTAGGAAATGAGCGCGCGGGTAAATGCATAGGAGCCATTCACACGCGCACAGGTGAGCGACGCATGTGGGATATTCCAACACTATCCCAAGAAAAAGAAAGCGGAGAGGGAGTATGTAAACTCTTTCAACATTTCCTGGATCGTGTGAGGAAAATGTTTCTCAGTCTCGTTGTGCTTCACGGGAGCTGCAAGATTTTATTATCTGTGGTTTGTTGAATGCTCGGTTTCTCTGAATATTTGAGAGATTAAACATTGACGTGATTGTAGCCTATTAGCCTATACATTTTTGTCGATGCAAAGAAAAATGTCTGTGGGTATATTCATCAACTATTAACCACAAGTAACAAAACGTCTTATCGATCTATACGGCTTGGAATAAACCCCTGCTGTAATGAAAATAAAGCCTTATGTAATCGACGCATGAATCAATTATTCTCACCACCATTCAATTAGGGCTTACACAAAGGCTGTATCATTTTCTTAACGGTCAGAATTACGAAACTGTTAGAAAACAATAGTAAAGCTCTATATTTCTTTAGTAAATTGCTTATCGCTGTTTTAGGCGCAGGTTTTGCAGGTCTGCTCTCTAAATAGCTCCGCATGTACTGCCATATATAGCCTTAAACTATAGGCTAATTATTATTGTTAAATACTACTTTATGAATATTAGGCTAATATTATTATTAATTATAAGCGCAATTATTATTATTATTATTATTAATGATATTATTATTTTATCTTATATCCTTTTATTTGTAATATATATATAATATTTAGGGAACTCAATAAATAGTGGCTATTCGCCTATATGTTTTTCAGTATGCCTTGTTTTTGTTGGGATGACATTTAATCTGCAAATAGGCCACAACCTTTCACCTCGACCTTTACCTTTACCATCCTTTTTAATTCTCCAAGGAACGCGTACTTGTGCAACATCTTTGAAGCTGTTTTTGCATGGTGAATAAAGGAGATTAATTGAATCGTGTTGTTATTAATGGTATTGAAGAGCTCAGGCAAACAGACAGTGGCCCGTGTGATGTCCCGTTTATCAATACGGGCTATACTTTGAGGATGAAGAGGGCACCATCTAACCTAAAGCCAATATTTGCTTTGGAAAATGGTTCTTCTGCTCATTATGCAATTGATTAATAGTTTTTACACAATTTTATATATTTGTTTCTTAGAGAAATATTTTAAATATTTGGAGTCCTAATTCAACAAACTCCAAATATTTTCAGATTTTTTTTTTTTTTTTTTTTTTTTTTTTTACGGCTATAGTCTATCTTCATGGGCATTGGCTAATTGTGATTAGGCTGTTGTTTAATATAAATGCATGTTTAGACCGGTTGTTTCCTTGGGTTTTTTTAGCGCTTTGCAAAATGATGAAGTGTTTTGTCAGCGGCTTAAAATGTAAAAGACCATATATCTCGAGTCAGTGCGCACTGAAAGACATCGCGGATGATATCGCCCAAAAGGAGATCAAATTCGTCCTCTCTGTGATCTTTTGAAGCTCCATAAATCCGGCTTTATACCTTTGCAGTTTGTTAATGAAATGTACATTTAAGCACACATGCACGGCTTAACCCGACAAAACCTTTTAGAATAATAAGCTAACTCTTTCCAGCATGAACCTATTATGAGACGCGGGCATAGTCGGTGACGGTGCGGATACAGCGGCTGAATGAATTACCCAGCAAGGTCAGAAACAAATAGCTCACAAATAGCAAAGCTGGATCGAATTTATGCCTAATTAAGTCGCTGAAATAAAAGAGATAGAAGGGAAAATTGAATGGCGTAATGGGAAATGTGTCCATTCAGGGAAGAGGTGGTGTGCAGAGGAAAGGATGCAACCCTGATGAAAACTGAACTTGAACTATAGGCTAAGGATGTCTCGCATTAGTGCTTAAAGTGTATACTATTAATTATGCATTATGACTTATCTGAATACATTAATAAATAAGCACCTTGCAAGATCTTATAGAATAAAATGAAATAATCATTTTCTATTGTTTCTGTTCAGCGTTTTTTCATGACTCCTATCTAAATTGACTAACTGCGTGATGATTTGACTGTTTGGTCATATGTTTAATGCATATTTTATTAGTGATGGAAAATAAACCAAATCAAATAAAGACTTTGGACCCCGTAATCGAATGTATTTTGCAAGTGGCTGATCTTTTACTGGTAGTAATTTTATTATGTAAGCACAGTTGGGGATAAGCTTGCACAACTGTAATAAATTAATGGCTTTGTTACCGCTTTTAATTACGGTTATTGTGCCAATTATTTTAAATCAACTCCGCATTATCAGCATGTCAGATTTAATAAAAAGGAGCCATTTGCAGGAAAACTGCTACTCTCATCTAAAAGGGAAGTGTCCACGTCATACTCTGGTTAAAAAATGACTTTTCATTTAAATGCAATCCTTAATTGGATTTTCTACGGTCGACACCGTGATTCCCTAAGGCTATACCCACCAGAAGGCAGGATCTCCGTTTTTCTCTCTGAATTCACCATTTTCACCCCCTTGAAGAATCCACTCTATCAACCTGCAACTTTCTGTCAAACAATATGATCCAGCTCATTTTTAACAGTCCCCTTCGTAGTATCATCCTGTAGGCTCCCACCATTACAGCCAAACCAGAAAATCATGTGTTTTTTTCTCTCTCGCAAATTCGGTTGAACATAACATAATTCTGTAGGTAAGCTATACTATATGACAACGGCATGTCAAAACACTACTTTAAAAAACAATGAACTGTTTGGTGAAAATGAATGGACGAATAGCGATCATTCCTGAATTAATTAATCAGGAAAACAATTTTCACTACGGAAACACATTTGAAAATGTACATTAATTTTGACATTCCTGCGTAAAATAAATATATATATATATATTTCTTTATTTTTATGTAAAATATTTTGACTTTATTTAAATTGGATACATTTTTTTGAACAACGAATCGTTTTCCATTCAAAACAGATCAGCCTACCATCAAGAATCTTGATAAATATATCAAATATATTTTTCGTGTAATAAATGATTATGTATGTTTAAGTCTTAAATATTATTTTAGTTTTCTGTATATTTTATTTATTTGTTTGGCTATTGTGTTATTTTTGTCTTTCTGTAGCTGGTAGAATGAAACTGCCTGTACACAATCTAACTGATATCCTCAAACCAAAATAATGAATTTTGCTATCGATTGCTGTTAAAAACACAATGCAGCCTGTTGTCTATAGCCTACTGTATAGCCAGGAATAAAACTGCATCCGTACCATACTTGCACGATTTTATATGCTTATAATAATATTATGCATTATAGGTACATTATAATTTGTTATTATTATTATTATTATTTTTTTTTTTTGCTAAACGTTTACGTTCTTAAGTTTATTTCACAAAATGATATTTTAATATTGCTGTGTGATGTGCAAAAATGACGCCTTAGCTAGATTAACATGCCAATGCGCATAGTTAAGCACGTGTGATGTTACTCGGTTTGTACGTTTTATTGTTATTTAGATGAAGACTGAAGTAGCACATTAGCACGACCAGAGGGTGTTATTTGGGTTTTGTCTTAAAACTTCCTGCGTAACGCAAGTTCGACCAACATCCCTCTTTTTCACGTCTTGCTGTATCCCTTCTTTCTGACAACTCGACTTAATCTCAAATATTTCCAATACAGGCTATTTGTATCTTTTCGTATTGAAAACAAATTTTGAAGATAAAGGACATAGGCCCAATATGAAAGCTGACGTATAGCATAGGTTCTTTCTTTTAGGGGTTTAAGGTTCGATGCCTCAAATGTTATTATTTGTTAATCGACAACATTTCAAAAGTAGTATAAAATAATCTTGACCTCAAATACGGTGAACTTACGCGTAATTTCTAGGCTATTTGTCACCTCAATCAGTCAATAGTGATGCTTCTTCACTCACTTTACCCATGCATCGCAGCTTTAGAGCTAATTAATTACACGAATGCTTGTTATTCAGTCAGAATTATTGTACAGAGTATTATTGTACAGTCAGAATTATAATTCAGAGTTATTGAGTGTGGTTTCACATGGGACCCTTCCAAGACAGTCTATCTTGGGGGCTCGAGCCTATTGCGTGAGTAGTATCGCTAATTGGCTATTGAAGTTTCATGTTATCACTGTAATCATTTCCCATTCCCATCTATAGTTTTAGTCAAATTAATCAGATTCTTATGTCAAAGTTTAGGCACACTGTTTAGCCTAGTATCGCTTCTGTTTTCTTTGGCTGTAAACAAGTCTAAAAAGTGCCATGAACTCATAACTGCATTGCCATCAATTTGATAATTTATTGTATAGTAAGTCAAGATTTCCATTTTAGTGGAATTTTGTTTTTATTTCTACAGTGCAGCTATTGACAATTAAATAAGATAAAATGTCACTAAAAAGA